CTGTGGCATCACAGCTCACAGCAACCTCCAACTCCTGGGCTCAAGCGAGCCTCCTGCCTCTGCCTCCCAAGTAGCTGGGACCACAGGCGCTTGCCACAACACCTGCCTATTTTTTGGTTGCAGCCATTGTTTGGTAGGCCCGGGCTGGATTCAAACCTGCCACCTTAGGTGTATATGGCTGGCACCTTAGGCACTTGAGCCACAGGTGCCAAGCCGTGCAGTTGTCATTGTTGTTTAGCTGGCCCAGGCTGGGTTCAAGCTCACCAGCCTGGGTATATGTGACTGGCACCGTAGCCACTGTGCTACGGGCCCTGAGCCAATGATTTCTCTTCCTTTAGGGACCGGTCCTGCACTGTCCTCAATGTGGAAGGGGATGCTTTGGGGGCAGGACTTCTCCAAAATTATGTGGATCGTACAGAGTCTAGGAGCCCCATTCCTGAGTTGGTTCAGGTGAAGAGTGAGATGCCCTTGAATCCACTACCAGCCCCCACTGAGGAAGGGAATCCCCTCCTCACACACTACCGGGGACCTGTGGTGAATGCTACCTCCGAAAAGGAATCAATCATGTGAATCTCAGGAGGAATCTTCCCTGCCGTAATGAAGGCCATATCATGAAGAATGGCTACAATGGACACACTCCAGACAGCCAGAGGCCCCAGTCTCCTCCCAGACAGGAGATCTGGGATGCCTCACTGCTGGGGTACATGTGTTTATATATGTATGTATATGAGTATGTCTCCCTAAATCTCTCATGTTCTCAACTTACATCCCTGACCTAAGGCTAAGAAATGGCAAGAAATACATTTTCCCCACCCCACTCCCAGGACCTGCGTGGCCTTTCCTGTCTCAGGGCACAGCTTGCAGGTCACCATGTGGGATTCTACCCCTGTTGGGCAGGCAAATATTCCAGTGTGATGCTGTTCAAATATTCCAGTGTGATGCTGTTATTTTGGTGGCTGTAGCTGGGGTGTGTGTGTGTGTATATTCTGTGACCACTTGGTCTTTCCACGGTACAGCCCACCCTGTCCCCAGGCCCCCTGTTCCTTCATAGTAACAAACACTACCAGGAACTCTTTGAGGAAACCAATGACAAATACTGCTGTCATACTTTCTAGCAATAAAATTGAGTGTCAGAGCTTGGCACTCATAGCACAGTGGTTAAAGCACCAGCCACATGCACCAAGGGAGCCAGGTTTGAACTTGGCCCAGGCCAGCTAAACAACAATGACAACTGCAACAAAAAAATAGCCCAGCGTTGTGGTGGGCGCCTGTAGTCCCAGCTACCTGGGAGGCTGAGGCAAGAGAATTACTTAAGCCCAAGAGTTTGAGCTTGCTGTGAGCTGTGATGCCACAGCACTCTACCAAGAGTGACTCTGCCTCAAAGAAAAAAAAATTGAGTGTCAGTTTATTTCATCAAGTGTCTTTAAGCACTTGATGAAATAAACTAGTTATGATAATAATGATGTCTGTTTAAGAAGCACCACTGGAAACCACAAAATGAGACACCACTCTGAACAGGTAGACCACCTAATAACAGTACCTTTTGGGAGGCCACGGTACAGTGGGGCGATCACCTGAACTCAGACATTCAAGACCAGCCTGAACAAGAGCGAGACCCCCATCTTGAGAAGAATACAGCTATTGTATTGTTGTGGAGGGTACTTGTAGTTCCAGATACTTGCAAGGCTGAGGCAGAAGGATCACTTAAGCCCAAGAGTTTGAGGTTGCTGTGAGCTATGACACCATGGCACTCCACTGAGGGCAACAAAGTGAGAGTCGGTGTCAAAACAACAAAACAAAAACAGTACCAAACACTGATGAGGACAAGGAGTGACTGGACTTGTACATTGTTGGTTGGAATGGAAAATGGTCCCATTGCTATAGAAAACAGCTGGACAGTTTTTTTTCTTTCTTTTTTCTTTTTGAGACAATCCCTGAGGTTGAGTGCCATAGCATCGTAGCTCACAGCAATCTCAAACTCTTAGGCTCAAGTGATCCTCTTGCTTCAGCCTCCCAAGTAGCTTGGACTACAAGTGCCTGCCACAATACCTGGGTAGTTTGACAGTTGAGTATAAAGTTAAAATACACATTTACTGTGCACTTTAGGAATCACACTCCTGGAATTTACTCAAGAAAAATGAAAACCGTTGTTCATGCAAAAACCTGCACACACATGTGTATTGTTGCTGTATTCATTATTGCCAAACTTTGGGGAAAAAGTCAAAAAAAATGGATGGAAGATGAGCCAGCAATAAATAGAAACAGTATTGATTTTTACTGCAACATGGATAGATCTCGCAAATAATTTATTGATGCCAGTACATGCTGTATAGTTGTAGTTATAGAAAGTCCTAGACGGGTCTGTGGTGAGAGAAATCAGAACAGTGGTGACATGAGAATGTACATTGACAAGGCACAGGAAACCTATGATAAAGCAAATGTCTTTTGTGTGGATGATGGTTGTATTTGGATTTTTTTTTTTTCTTTGAGACAGAGTCTCACTGTCACCCTGGAGTTGAGTGCTGTGGCGTGATCATAGCTCAACAGCAACCTCAAACTCCTGCGTTCAAGCAATCCTCTTGCCTCAGCCTCCTGAGTAGCTAAGACTACAGGTTCCTGCCACACCTAGCTAGTTTTGTTTCTCTTTTTTTTTTGAGACAGAACCTCAAGTTGTCCCCCTGGGTAGAGTGCCATGGCATTACAGCTCACAGCAACCTCCAACTCCTGGGCTCAAGCGAGTCTCCTGCCTCCACCTCCCAAG